TAAAGGCCAGCATGGCTTTCCCAGTAGAACTGTGGGATGAAGGGGGCAATGAGAGGTGATGAGATCCCAGCTGGTTTTGTACCTCAGTGTTTTGCCCAGACAGGCATTCCCCATCCGTGTCTGGGCCCAGGAGCCTTTGGCCACAGTTCCTGTGCCCTGCCTGCTGAGGAGGCAGCCAGAGAGGAGCTGTGCTGGGCACCTGGCATCCAGACAAGGCCAGCCCCCCACAGCTATGCAGGCATACACACAACCTGAGACTGCAAAATGATTGCTGATCCAGTAAAAATGACTTTTTGCAAAAAGAGAAAATTAATATTTAAAGAAGGCTTTATGTCAGGTTACTGCATAAGCAGCCATTTCCTTTATGCTGCTAATTTTTTGTCAGAATAAAATACAAAAACAATGCATAGTCCATTCACCAAGAATTCTCCTTTTCATATCTGACCACTAGATGATGCTGTGACTCCTAATTGCCAATGATACTGTACTGTCACTATTTTGGTTTATTTAATGGAACTCTGTAGCATTTTTAATATGAAAAGTTGGTGTTTTCTTTTTCTTATATGCATTGTAGCTGTGAGCACATATAGGCTGGTTAGTTTCTATAAAAATCCATATAGATCAGACATCTGAGCAATAACTCTTTCTAACAGTATGGGGAAATTCACATTATTTTTGAGGCTGTTCTGATGTTCTCTCTAGGTGCCGATGTGGACTGCTTTGAGTAAAGACTTCTGCAAAAAGGGGAAAGTATACTGAGAAGAGATTTGAGATATCTAATTCAGGTTTATATTCATAGTCCTTTCTGGTTTTCTGTGCTACATAGTTAGAATGGGGGGTTTAATTTCAGTTGTGTAATTTACTTTCTGTGCTGTAAGAGCATTTGGAATTAAGGAGGACATTTCTGTTTAGCAATTACTGCTAAAAAATGGGTGATCTTATTTATTTGCATAGGGATTATTCCTGTTTTCTGTTTCCACAAGTCATCAGACACCATTGTACTGATGATCTTCTCAAAGTGATTTCAAGAGAACAGCATTCTTTCATGTGAGCTAATTATTTTTCACCATTTGCCATTTCTATGAACTCCTGCAAACACATTTTATTTTTTGCAGCAGTCCTTCCATCTTCTTATCAGAAATGTTAATACAAGAAGGCTGTACTGATTGCAGCAGGCAAAGCAGTACTCAGCCAGCTACCTTCTGTACAGAAGTGCTAAAGGCACAGCTCCATTCAGGTGATCCCCATATGTCAAAACCAGAGGAGGAATGAAAACAGCTTATACAATTCAGAACAGCTTGCAAGCTAGGTCAGTGCCAGTCAGTTCCAGCAGAAAAGAGCTTTGTAACTAGCTTAATATCTGCCTTTCCCACTTTTAGACATGCATGTAGCACACTTCTGCCAGTCAGAGATCTGGATCTTATTTTCAATATGTAAGCAAGGAAATTACACTCTCTGAGAGGTAAGGAGTATATAAAGCTTGTTTTTCCCTCACTGAAATGGCATCTGCCACTCACACTGGGGTCTGATTGGGAAATGCCTGCATGACACTGCAACTGCAACTTCACTGGGACATTGTTCTATCCACAGCAGGCTCTGAGGTGAGGGATCATTCACATTCATTTTAAAAGTAAGCTTCATTTTTGCAAACTCATTAACAATTATACTGAAACTGAGCTCCTGTCACATAACTGTGCTAACTCTCATTTTGAACATGTTTTTACTAATTTACTTGGAGGTAGGCTTGTACAAAATCACCAGGTTGCAGTAATTCTGCTGAATACATAGGGTAATACTCATTTTACTCCCAGGTGCAAACTCAGTGTCACCTTCAAAAACACCTAATACTGCCTTCCAATAAAAGATATTATATAGGCAACAAGTACCTGAAGTTTAAAACTCTTTAAGAGAAGAACTTGCCATTAAAAGTTGCTGAAAATGCTGTGCCACTGTGCCCAGCCCATGCCCACACAGCTGCAGTGTCCCTGCAGTAACTCATTCTCATGGGGCAGCACCACAGGAAATCCTCTGGCTTTCTTCAGCCTTAACTAGAGACCAGCCTTTGCTTCCAAGACTCACAGCAGTGGTTAAAAGCCACTTGTTTTTCTTCTTCTACCCCATGACCAGGCAGTTTGGACCCTTGTTTCACCAACAGTCCCACTGATATCCAGGTACTGTGTGAAGTATTGCTTCAGTTGGTAAGATTGGTAAGATCAGCAGTAAGAATATATTCATGAATTTATTCTGGTCTTAAAACTACTGGTATACAACTGTAAGGACTAAAATTGATACAAGAGGCTTCATCACCATAATTTCCATTTTAAAAATATATATTTCCCAAACTGAGGAGTCTTATATTGTAAGATAGTCCACAGACTCCTATTTTGTTTGAGTGATTTTTTTAAAACTTTGTGTCTCAACTCTATTTTTTAAGAAGTAAAGTATTTTGTAAGAAGTACATCTACTTCTTCTCTGACAGAATTTCATTGGTGAGAATTTCATTCTTCTTGTAGAAGAATCTTCCCTGCTGCAAAGAGAATTTCCTTTGATAACTTTAAAAGTCTTCTAGAGATTTATTGACTTGAATTACAGCAGCTCACTTATCACAAAGGCTTTCTGTCAATCACAGAAAAGGATAACAAATTTCATATGGGAATGAAGTGGACTCCCCACTTTTACTGCTACATAGAAGAGCTCAAACAATCATTAATATCTGATGTGTACATCTACACCTTATATACTGTGCCAAAGTCAGCCTAAAGATTGGAATCAGGTCTTATTTAAAAGGAGAAGTATAAGAGAATGAGAAGAGACTATTTTAAGCCAAACAACAAAACATAAGGGTATTTACTAGTGGCTAAATTCTTTCCACTGCAGAGTGTCTATAAAATTTACTTTGCAGCTCCGCTTCATTTAAGACACAACTATAAATGGCTTTATTTCCCCCTAGCACATGTTTGTTGTACCCTAATTAGTGTTTTTATCTAGTGTGTTATTATTCTGCTTCCACTGAATACGAGCATGACTGCTATGAAAGGCTTTCAAGTGCACACTCTCCTAAGTCCACTTTTTTGCCTAGATTTTATAAAAGAAATTATGTCATGTTTATATTATGATATTTAAGTAATAATTTTCCTCCCAAGACAAACATTCTTTTTCTATATAAAAAAACTCTGGGCCTAACCAACTTGTTTATACATTTAGGACAGTTATTTTTGTAGTGCAGTTTTAATAAAATCTATGCAGTGAAGCATGGCATTGCCTTCATCTGTGTGCCTCCAGAATGATCTGGAAGAGGTCTGTAAGTGAAAGATCAGCATCTTAGTAATTCTTTTTTCCTATAAATACTTGTCAGATCAGGCTACCTTAGGCAAGGCCACTCCATGGAGTTTCATGGTATCCCAGTGTTACCCACAGAGTGCTCCCTGTGCCCAAAGGTCCCACGGGCTGGGCACTCTGCCTCAAGCAGAGCCCCTTGGGAGCAGGCTGCAATCCCACGAGTCCCATTAATCACTGCCTGGATTGAAGTCTGAGCATTCAATATAGCTCAGATCACAAAGCCACCAGGAAAGCTGCAATTTAAATTTACTGTTCATCAAAGGAGAATGTGCAGATGGCATACTCTGTCTAGAGGATCACTGGAATTTCCTACTCTTAGTTCCTTAATTTAGGAGGAAGAAAAACTGCCTTTTTAGTTACTAAAGTAGCCTTTGCATCTGCTATAGGGATATAGCAGTGAGATGAAATGGTGGAACAAATGGAAACAAGGCACTGTTGAACACAGCCTTGGGACCATGGCAGTCAGGAGGCCATAAAAAGCTTTTGACAATCTGAATGACAAAGAAAAGTTTGGAAATGTAGAAACTTTGGCTGCTGTGGTTTGATCCCTGTCATAGAAAAAGAATTTGTAATAAACCTCATATCTCAATTGCTTCACATAGTCGGAAAAAGAACCCCAAACAAACCCCAATCTCATATTCAGCAAAATGTTTGGACCAGAAAGCTGTGAACATGAATGCTGGGGGAGTGGGAAATGAATGATTTGCTTCCTGCGAGAGCTGCCCCTTGCTGCTGTAACAACAGGGATAAGAGGAAGCTGCTTTGGTGCTACTTCCAAGAGCTGTGCTGAGGCAGAGCCCCACTGTCCCTGTGTGGCTGTAGTCAGGTGCTGTTGAGGGGC